TTCTTTTTCCTTTTTTTTTTTTTTTTTTGTTGAATTGTTATTCACAAAAAACATGCCTAATGTACTCTGAACTTCATCACTTCATCATACCTGACTAATAAAAGCATCGAAACGTTTTCTTTTTCCAATGAAGCAAAGTCCCATGCTCTAAAAAATTTTCATTTGCAGGAGTAAAGTTAAAACCAGGTACTTCCACCTCGTTGATTTGTTGCAAGAAAAAATGGAGACAAAAGAAAACCCACCTCCCGCTTTTCAGCAATTTCATCCATCCCAGCATCAATCGCAATTTGGCGTACTTGTTGTTTTGTCAATGAACCTACTGGAAACATTGATCTTCTCAACTGCGATTGAGTTAAAGTTGACAGGAAAAATGTTTGGTCTTTGATCGGATCCACAGCAGCAAGCAATCGAATCACTAAACAATCACTTGAAGTAAAATGACGCATAACGAAAAAATTACGGATATAGAAACGTTTCATCTAAACCAAAGTTTAGCATTTTCAACTTTATTCATAATTGTGGAAATGAGGATCGTCTACATATTTGAGTATTAACTCAAACTACTAGTGTCTCTAATACAGAAAACATTTACCTAATTTGTTCACTTACATCCGGTTTCTAAACGATTCTCCAGAAAATCACCAAAACTTGTCCTTGCAAAATGGCCCGTTGCAACAGCATCAGCTTGAAGTTCATCAAATGCATATTTATGAAACCGATCGAACTTTATCGTTTTATTGCAAAGCACATCAGATACGACTGTCCTTCCTTTTCGGTAATTATCTAGCAAATACCTAAATGAAATAATCTTCTCTTCAGAATACTGAAAAGCCACTGAAACAGGACATAAATCTAATTAAATTCATCTTATTTTTATAAAACCTAAAACATCATATGTTTTAGCTATGTTAAACTCACATAAAAATTTCGTTCCAATATTTGTTTACAAAATTGGTCACATAAAAAGGTATTTGTAAATGACTGCACACTTTTTCCGCATCTTTTGCGTCCACAGATTGTGGGCAGTTGTTTGAATCCTCTTCAGCGCGATCCCAATTTACCTTAAATGCTTAACACTTAACATGCAGTCATTCGTTTTAAACTGAGTATACTTTACAAGCGTATTAGAAAATCTTTCATCTGTGATAGTTAAGTACAGAGTATACCATACCATATGCACACCAATTACATCAAATCCTCGCTTTTTCAACAAATATGCAGAAACTGCACTGTCAACACCACCAGAAATTGCACATACCACTTTTCGGATTTGTTTCATTGTTATCAAATTTATCGTTAAACTTTCATTTGAAGAAACCAGTCTGAAGAAATTGAAAGGTAATGATAGGAACACGGAATACCCAGAGTAAAAACAAGCAAAACTAGAAGGATTAATGATCACTTATCAATAACCAGATGAAAAAATGAAGCAAAACAGTTCTGGTGATTACCGTTATGACACTTCTTGCAAGATAATGACATATAGATTACTAACCATAATATGGAATAAGTGACAGAATAGTACTGCAAATAAATGACCCTTTCAGTTATGAAGAATTACAAATAACTTTCTCTAATTATGTAACGTCATCCTTTCCAACAATGTTATCATTACTATATTTCCGTACTCATTTACAGACATATTATGACATCCAAAGAAATACAACGTAGCATTGCTGTGAGTCTGACTACGGTGATTGCATTTTGAAACAAAGAACAAATTTTACATCCAGTTTTTTATTCAGCAAAGAAACAGCTTATTCGAGAATCAGTCAATATTAAGTACAAAAATTTAATACAGGATGCCTATTCATTACTTATACAATACCTGACTACTAATCATTTCGCTTGTTCCAAACGTCGTATTTCTGTATCGTCTTTAACTGCCTTATCCGGCTCTTTATTTTCATTCACAAGACCAAGCTGAATGAATTATGTAAAACAATTTGATTACAAAAGAATTTCTAAGATTACCTCTAAACGTAGATGATTTGGCAGGAAAGTAATGCAGGACTTACCTTTTTTAGTTCTTGTGAAAGTCGCACATCGTCTTTTGCCTTTAATTCCTTCATTTTTTCTAATCTTTCCATCCTTTCTTTTTCACCTTCATCCTATAAAGAACGAATATCTCACTGAAATGTGCAGCTAAAGAAAACAAGATAACACACAAAAGAAAACAAAAGGATTTACTGAAAAATGAAATGCAACTCACCAATAAACCTTCTTCCAAACGAAAATGAAATTCATCCTCAAGCTCCTGCTCCTGTTTTCTTTTCAAACTTTCCAACGATGGCACTTTGCGTTCTTTGTCGAAACCCAACATTATATCGCGAAGCTCATCTATATCTTTCCTTTTTACAACCTAAAAGCAGCAAACTAGGGATACTAAAAATTTTTACATGTATGAACAAAATTTTTTCCAAATTGGTTCTGATTCGAAACTGGATTAGAAACAAATGAAGATGCAAATTCATTATTTCATAGAATTATTTCACAGACAGTTTAACTCATAATATGAATTGTAATATGAATCGTAATACAACAATTTACAGAAAACTTAATAATTCAATTATTTGAAGTTTAGCTGACCATTACAATAACAATCTAATAATCTAATGAATAAAAATACTACTGTAAGTGAAAGAGTAAAACTGAAAAAAAGAAAATGATACATATTGTTGTTCCTTCCGCTCGAATGGTCTAAAATACTGCCAAATTGTGTTAAAAGTTTCATTACCAATCCTCTGCATGCCCTAGAATTTACATAAATCATCATTTAAAACCAAATATCAATTGATGAGTATACAAAACAGTTATAAAAAGAAAAAATATTTTACCGGATGTTTTTCTAAACTTTCTAGGATCTGAGGCAGTAAAATATCTCTGCGTTCTTCATTCAATTTTAATACGAAATCTCTGTCACATTGTGTTCGCAGGATCTGCAAACAGTACGAATAAATCTTCAAAACACAGAAATACACATAGAAAATTGGAAAGTAAACCAAATTAAACGTGAATGTAAGAGTAAAATTATCTTCTTAAACCTTCATGTGATTTAAGCACTTCTTACCAAAACAGTAAGTACTGTGCCACTGCAATCAAAATAAAGAGACAACTCATATCGCTATACATCCTCTATTCGATTAGAAAAATCCAATGATTAACTTACCTCAATAGCTTCTCGAAACATCAATTTCCCCTTAGGTATTTTTTCTGGTGGAGGCTCATAAAATCCAAATTCCCATATTTGGTCATTTCTATGAACCCACTCCGTGTCTTTTGACTGTAATTCTCTACAAAAAAAATATATGAGAATGTAAAAAGTAGCAGAAAACATAAAACCGTACAAATGTTTACTAACAATATCTCCCATATTTTCACTGAAAAAAAAAGTACTTTGTTGTTGTCCAACGACTTTCTGGTTCCGAAGAAGTCACTGTAATTTTGTTCATATTGTCTATTAAAATATTGTTCCTCCTTTTTATTTCCTAAAATAAAAACTCAAAACAAAGAACATAGTAAATAATGGGATAAGGAAATCAAGTAAAAACATGCCAAAAAAGCTTTTTAATAATTTCTTCTAATCTTCATTTTTAGATATTTTTCTAAAAAATGGTTTAACTTGTGGTACAAGTTTATACCTGTGTAATTTTTTCGTCGGCTTGGACTTTTTGGAAATATTTCTGTTCCGTCGGATGCCGAGGCGCTCGATGAACGGCCTATAAATTTGAATCAACTTAATATGCTAAATCAAATAAACGAGATTTCTAATATTTCATCCACACAATACTTCTATCCTCAAAAACCTCACCATAGTTTTAGTAAAAATTGTTGCTGTTTTTTAAAAGTAAAGACGCATTTAATGTGCAACAGTCTAACAGTGCCATATATAAGGAACTACCACAGGCAGGATCAATTTGCGAACAAAAAATTACATATCGATTGCCACATATAAAATTTAATGTGCAACATGAAACATGACTATAGATAAAAAAAAGTTCCAACATCAACAGAAAAAATATAAACAATTAGTAAAAAACGTAAAAATCAAATACTTTAAAGTTAATGATGCTTTCAAAATAAATTGAACAATATGATCCACAGATGATGGACACATAAACAAGTAAATCAATTACTTTCCCATTCTCATAAGTAAAATTATAAACATTTGTTCAAACAATTTAAGAACATTATTAAACGACGAAAATAAACCTCAGTTTTCTCCAGATCTTCAGCATATTTAATTGCTTTTTGCTGATAATTCCGGTTTTTCATCGTGCGTAAAACTGACTTCCAAATCTTCTTCATCTCATACGAAAACAGCACTGTATTTACTGAATCAACTGAATCATTGACATGGAATAAACTCCGACTAATCAGCACATAAGAAATACAGCAAATACCGATCTAGCACAAGATATCGGTAATGCCAGCTGTAAAAAAGTTTTGTTTTGAAATATGTTACCAACAATGGAAGATTGAAAGAGTTTGCGTTACATAAATGATCACTACGGCAATCAAACAGAATGACTGAAGATGATGTCAGTGTATCTACATTAGCTAGATAGAAATAACATCGGACACTCCTTCAAAGTTATCGTTAACAAAGCATCAAATGAAAATAAATCATAATAATGAGCTTGCAAATTAATAAAATTTTTAAAATAGAAATTAAGACAAAGTATGAAATACAGTTACAATGAGGAGAAGAGTAAAAGGGAGAAAAGTATTATATATCTGATGGATTCAGATTTTTATAAGTTTATATGAGCAATAGCGAATGTGATAGATGATAAAACAATAGACTGAGAAAGTGGTAGGGAAAAATGATTAGTTATATTAATGACTGGAATTATATTCTCTATTAAACATATACCCATATGTAGAAGATACTTGCATGTGATGGTATGCATTTTTATAAATGTCTACTTTTAAAATTTTACTCTTTTTACAAAATGTATCCAGAAAATTGTTACTCCAACTGAACCGGAAATCCAACCTTATAGCATTATTTTTCCTCGACAAAATAGCACTTCGCAACTAGAGATTCGTGTATAAGGCAAGACGGTAGTATGGAATACGGTGGTGGGCGGAGCTTTGTAAGCGGAGAGATCTATTGATCGCGGCCCAAGGCCTTCGCTCCGACGGTCCGTGGCCCAATCTCGTGTCTTCACTTTGCACATAAACAGTTCTCTGTTAGGGACGTACGTGAGGTGCGTGTTAGGCATGGCACGTGGTTTACTTTCGTTTTTTTAAAGTTAACTTTGTGTTAGTTAAAGCCGTTTCACAACATAATAGAAATAAAAAAGATTTCTGGGAAATTCGAAAACTTAGCAGTTTCAACACATTTAAGGTGGATAGAGTAATGCCGGGAGGGAATAGAAATTTGCGTTCGACGCTACGACGACGTTCGGTTACCGTTGCATTGGAAGAGCCATCGGAAGATGTTGACGTGGGAGGAGGAATAGGTGATAGCGGAGTTCATGAGCTGGTCGATGTTGAGGGTGATGCACCACCTAACTTTCCTCAGGAAACGGCACCAACAACCAGTAAAACTAAACTTTGCAAGCGGCAAGTCATACCTGTCGATTAATTACATTTATTGTTTTTTTTTTTTTTTTTTGGTAGGGTTCAACTGTTTTTTCTTCTTGTGTTCGAAATTTATTCTTTACGAAACATACTTGGATCTAGAGAGATCGATGAAGATGAGGATGAAAATCAGCCAGTAATGAAAATCCGTCGTATCACGACGCCAGCATATGCAATTCGACGAATTGATCGGCGTGTTTGGCCGAGCGAAGTACCTCGAAAAAATTATAATTATGGGAAAACCACAGCATATAGCGTAAGAAAGGAACAAGAATTGGCACCCAATCCAAATAATCCTCATTTCTGTTTTACGGGTCATCAGCGTTTATATCCATATCGGTTTTATCTCGACCTTATCCGTAAGTTGATCGACTGATTGATTTTGTTTTCTGTACTTTATATTTGTAAAGAATAAAAGTGTTTGATTGCTTTTTTGATGTAGTAAATAACAGTGAAAGACTTGGTCAGTGGAAAATTGTACTGCGCTTATTTGCAAAATGCTGTTTTCAGGTAGAGCGAAAAGAGATCCTTCAATCATCAGTTTGGATATGCCAAAATTAAGACCTGTAGGGGGAACAATAATTGTCTATGACTGTCATGGGTTAGCATTTTTACTCACTATCTGAGGCATCATATTTCAACCATTTTTTTTCTCGAATTTTTTTAATGAAATAAGACTACTTAAAATCGATTTACTTGAAACAAAAGACATTTTAGTATCGACCAAAATCGAGCCCTTCACAATGATGGCTATCGCTGGGGCCGCTCGAAAGGTGTGAAACTGATTCAGAGTGTTGGCAATAGACTTGTACGCACATATCATTTTCTGTATGATCCGAATAATCCGGCTGGAGATCCGAGTTTTAAGTGTGTTCATTCATTCTGAAATTTATTTCTGCACCTATTTTCATATTCTCTGTCATCTCATTTGTTTCTGCGTGATGCTCATACGTTTTTGGTGGATACGTTATCTTTTTACACTTCTAGACATGTTGATCATGAGAAATTTGATAAAATACCAACATTTTATGAATTTCCTCACTTTTTTCTGCAAAAACAATATTGACTTTAGGAAATACCGTTTTTCGTTGAAAGGTGAAAATTATGGCGTAATGGTCATGCATTATATCGGTGACGAAAAGCATGCGGCGGAAGTTTCAGCTAGAGTAAGAATCATTCTTGAATTTAGCAAATATGCAATGAAGAACACAGATGATTCTACGACTCGTTTACTTACTACTTACTGAGCATTTGGCAGTAAAGTAGCATTTTTCTTTAAAAAATTTTCATACTTTCAGAATTGATCGTATGGAAATTTGTGATAGATTTTCAAAAAAAAAAAAAAAAAAATTGGATTAATTTGATCGGGATGTATTTTATTATTTCCATTTTTTGTGCATTTAGCTGAAATTATCAATGATTTTTGTTCTCAGTGCATGCGGAACAATGATCCAATGGCTATGTTAGCATATAGTGAAGCACAACAGGGAGTTGAAGATTTGCATTCGTTAAACTTGTTGCCATTACCTATGTTAAATGAACACTCATCTGAAGAAGAGCGAAACAAATTTCGTCAAACTTTGTTATCCAATATTCAGGGCCTTCAACGGCAGTTATTGGTAATTGAATTTTTTTATCCTGTAATAAAACTTACTAATGTCCCGAATATTTCTGATCCAAATTTAACTGTTATTTATTCGTTTATTTATTTACTGTTGGTATTTGTGTTTTTTCAATTTATTTAATATAGACATTAATAACATTTTTTTATAACATCCATATTGCAGTATGAAAATGAAGAAACTTTTGTGGAAAGAGTTGAATTTGATGACTGTGGTGTGAGTGTAGTTTATTTGTTTTGCTATCCATTGGTGGAACAGTTAATTGCTGTGGCAGGTTATTTGCAACAAGGCACTCCGTTCCGTACCGTTCAGCTTTTTTACCATACTGAACCAGTCACTGTCGATTATCACCTTTCTACGCTTTCGTTCGTACATCCATTTTTTGAAGGTTAGGTTTGGGATACTAATTATTACTTATTTATATGTTTTTGTTTTCTAGATTTGTAAAAAAAGGTAAGTGATTTCTGTTACAGGTGACCAAGTGTTACCCATAGCTTTCATGATCAGCTCGACTGCATCACCGGACCGTTGTGATGATCATGACAGTTTTTTGTCAACATTATACGATAGATTTAATGAGCTTCTTAATGGGCGTTTTGTGATTATCACCGGCCAGAGCTTGTGTTTCACCCCGGATGCTTTTCCGGTTTGTCTTTTTTTGTTTTTATGGTTGCTCATTGTTTACTATTTTTTTTCTGAATTTCATGCTATTTATTTTTTAGATTCATTTGATAGAAGTTTAAACTTATTTTTTGTATTTTGTTCAATGATAAAATTTTAGGTTGCCGAACACATTCGGTGCTGGGATGATTTCAAAAGAGTGAAACTCAGTTATATTGAAACTCTTTTTGGAGGAGCTAATTTGAATGAATATGCCAGTGATATGAATATTTTGATGAGCTGTACTTATGAAAAACTTTTCGATGAGGTAATAAAGCGATTTAATTTTACTCGATAAAAGGCACTAAATAGTTTTTTGAAAGAAATACCAGAAAGTAGAATGAATCTTAATTTTGAAAATATGAGAAATCAATTTTTCATATTTTATAGATGTGGGGAAAAATAAGTGCATGCAAACGTTATACTGAACGGCCAGATGTATACAGTTATTTTGATAATGTTTGGAGTGATTTTAAATTTACTAGTTCCATCTGGCATTTGAAGAACTGCGGTGTTCCAGATGCTGACAAGGGTATAACTTGGCGACCGTGTAAAGGTTTAAGTAAGGTAATTGGCATATTTCACTTATATTGATAGGTTTCCTGACCATAGCGTAAACACATGCTAAAGAAATAAAAATTTCTCCTGCTTTTTCAGAAGTTAATAGGATGAAGACATTTGGATTTGTTTAAAATTTTAATATACAGTGCTTTCTTTCCAGCTTGTTTCGCAGCTCTGTGATAGTAACGCTCTGCTTGATACTATTATTATATCACTGTTTTTATTGTCAAATGCATATCGAAGGTTGTTTATTGCTGGACTGCATCAGTCAGGTGCATGGAGATTGAAGAAATGTTACAGGGAGCGTTTTCAGCAGAGTCATTTGAAGGTGTTATATTTATTGGATAAATTTCAAGCTTTAATTTTAATATAAATATGTGGTTCTTTATTATATGTATTTCAAGTATGAGCAAATCATCCACTGTTCGTTCTATGCTTACATATATTTTATGCTTACATTTCAATTCTTAAATTTTTTAAAATTTCTCTGTTTCTAAGTTTTTTTTTTAGTTAGGTTTTAAGTTAAATTTCTCCATTTTCTTCCAGTTACCTAAATTACCGTATGCACCAGCCATGGAAAATATTGTGATGACCTCATTCAGTATGTGTCCAAATCGTCCTTACAAACGGTTGTCGCATGACGGAGTAAATGATGGTTCAACATTGTCGACGTGTCTTGATAATGAGTATCAAAATCATCCTAGTTCTCTGTCTAACCAAATTGACTTACCTTCTACAAGGCAAGCAGGTTTAATTATTGTTAATGGATCTGTTATGTTTTGATCATCTCATAATGCCAAAATATTGTTCAACTTTTTAGTCTGCAAATAATGTTTTAAATGTTTTGAAATATAGCGTTACCGCAAGTAAAATTGAAAGTATTTTTTACAGGAACTAATTGTGTTTACACTTTTAAATACAATTTAGTAAATTGTGATTTTTTGTAACTAACACTTTTTTGCAGTTCTTTATTCTGGGAAGGGCATCCTGAATCAAATTTTGAGTTTATTATCGATGCCGATGATTCGCGCTTACCATATTCTAGAAAGTGAGGATTATTTTTCTTTCGTCCGTGATGATCCACTTGGCTTTTCTAAAATGTTAATTTAAAAACTTTTTTTAGCGCATATGTACGTTTGGTTAGTCCAATGACTTTTGCGGTTCGAGCAAGAGATGGTTCACCACATATTGTAGAGGCCACACATCGTGATGATCTCGATTCATTGCAGTGGTACTGTAGTTGCGGGCTAAGGCAACGGTGCAGTCATATCGCTAGTGTTATGTTAGTTCTTCAATCCTTGTATTGAATTGTTAGTCTATTTGAGGAACAGACTGAAATTAGTTACTTGAAAAGTGAATGCTGTCTGCAAGCAAAGGTTCTCTATAACTAGCTTATGTTTACCTCACCAGTTCAGTTAAAATTGGGCTGATAGTACTGTAATCGAATAACAATTTTCGTGCAGTATTGATCATTTATCAAATTCTCTTTCTCAAAGTCTAAATTGTATTTTAATTTTCTTCAGCCAGAAGATCAACGATTGAAGAACTCATTCGTGATATGTTGCAAAAGGATACGGAGTTTGTCGAGAATACTGTATTTTTGTTTATCGTCAAAGTTGCGGTTTATAGGATTTCATTACACCACTATATCAATTTCTAATGGCAGTTTTTGTTTTGAAATTGCTGTCAGTCGTTGTTGTAGCATTAAATTTGAATTCCATTGGGAGTCCATTCATTTGCAATTGAAATGATTTTTTATTTTCCACTTCGTTTCGAAATTGAATCTGTCGGATTGTTGTAAACCCTATCTTATCCTTCACCCAGTAATCGAGTAGTCCACGATTACATTTCATAAAACAATAGGAAGTTAGTGCAAACTTTGTATTTTAAGTACAGTTTGTTGACTTCAAGTTGTGTATGTACAAGGTTGAAAAAAAAGGAAAAAAGGAAAACGATACGTCGGTCTGAATTGTGTACGTTTAGATTGTTATAGTTACATAAATGAGCATTACGATTAGAAATCCTATCTTCAATGTTGCTGTAAGAAATGATGTCTCTATGGTTGGCTGTTTTATCCTTTTATTCCAATCCTACAAATTACTGATTTTCCTTCATTTCTTTGCATTCCATTAGCATGCAACAGGATCACATAATAAAAATGCATTCGTATTTTGCATGTGAAATATCTCTTATGTTTGGTATTTTAGTAATTTTGCTATGCTTTGTAAATTCTCATATGTGCTCACATATTTACTCCGCTTTTGGGCTCGAGCAGTTCTTAAACTACTTTACCTGTAATTTGTTTTGTTTTCTACTAACATTCATAGTTTTTCAATGGAAAGAGTGAGATTGAATGAAGCTCCATTTTCCATTTTCTTTTAACGTAATATTCCTCCAACTTAGTCGATAAGCTAACCATTTGGCAGGAGCAATTTTTGCAAATATTTTGATGAGAAAGAAGGCTGCTGTTATTATGCACCTTTGTTTTTCAACTAATTTTTGAAACTATTGCAAAAAGCGTGGCGATTTTGATCTCAAACATCCGTAAATTCGGAATTTTTTCTACCTATCGATGTGACCCACCTCTTTCTGGTATCATTGCTCAGGTGTTTGAGTAGACCTTGTAGTCACGAACTAATTTTTCTTTTCTGTAAATTCTAACTTCGTATGGGAAAGGGTTCAGCGTCTTTCTTTCAAATTCATTTTTATTTCATTATCATCAATTTATCCATTTTAAGCTGAAATTCACTTCTGTCTGAAATATGCTTGGAACGGATAATTATTAGGGAAACTATGTTGTATGTAATCCGGAACTTCCATCCTTTGTTTAGTATAGATTACAGTTTCCTATATACTTATCGTCATCAGTTTTTTTTTTTTTTTTTTTAACGAGTTGAAGAAAATGTTATCGGAAAGTTTGTAAATTTTGGATTCCAGTAAGACATTTGAAGTGGGAGCTCGAGTTTTTTACTTTTTATTAATCAATTTATGAAATTAGATGTTTTTTGAACAGTTGTAATTATTGCTCCAGACAAGAAATAATTTTAGAATTGTCGCGTCATCAAAGTGGAGCACTCGTCTGGTGATTAACATACCTGGTTTATTTTTTTCATATTTTCAATTTCAAATCTTTACAACACGTACATTAACCGTCTTAGCGTTTTTAGAAAGTTGAAAAATGTTCGAATGTTGTTAACGTTATGCTCTGAACCATTTGCGCCTAATGAAGTTTCTACAGTCACTGTAAATTTCCGGAAATTGTTATGCGAAGCATCAAACTTAAATTTGGAAAATTTGCTTTAATATTTCTAACTTTGTAATGCAAAGCAAATATGAAAACGGAAATTTCGAAACTTGTAACTGTTGAATACAACTGGTGAATCTCAATCTGATGTTAATATAATTGTTGAACTATTTGATGCAATCACATTCTATAACAAGATTGAACTACGTTAAAATCTTCCGGTGATAAAAGATTAAATTTCTCATAGCCACCGACTCACCAGCAGTTATTATGAATTCATATTGCCTATAATTTGGTACATACCATAAGAACTAAAATGTAATTTAAGGAAGCCTAAAGATATGAAAAATACAATAGTATAAAATTTTTGGGAATGCTTCAGTGATTGCTGATCAATGTGAGATGACAATGTATGCTTATGAAATGAGAAATGGAAGCTTGGGATAGGAGAACAACCTCAAAGGTTAAGTCATACATTTTTGGTTTCATTCCTACTACATGTAACGATGTGTACATTTGATAGACTAGTCCTTGTACCACAAAAGCAAGTCTTCATATTTGACCGTTCACATGTATCCTCTATTTTATCCGCTCCTCTTCACTCAACCACCTTTTATAGTTTTTCTTTATTGCTTTATTGGTATTTCTTTTATTTGGTAGTTGTCCGGTATTTGTTCCAGTAGAAGTTTTTTATGGACGTACCGGTTCCGGTTTACAAGACTTGTTGCAAATCATTTGTATTTGCTATATTATGTACATCTCCACAAATCATCAAAACTATAGGACAAAAATAATATTTTTGTTCTTCCAAGTATTTACACAACACCATAACAATATCAATTATTTCAGTTAATATTGTTATTAGCTACCGTTTCATCCTTTCCAGTTGAACTTTTATAGTAAGCAATATAATATTATGCTTTCTTCAGTTATTGTGTAAAAGCAAAAAATTTTTTCTTCCCTAACCTTTTTAACTATTTCTGAAAAAAATCTGATCTTGAAATAAATCAATTTGGATAATATTTGAAACTATTACATAATTTTGATACATATCTTGAATACATTCTGAAATTGTTGTATGTTCTTAAATTTACAATGTATCATTTCATCAATTATTTTTTTCTAGCATTAATTGAAAGTAATATATTAACAATTGTCTCATATATCTCTTAGATTTAATTGATAAAAATGATAAATATTTGCTTTTTATGCCAATTAATACTGTATACAATTGATACGGTTGAGAAATCTGATACAAAAAAGCAAATACTTTCATTTACCTGCTAAAGCATAAATGTTATTTTTTTTTTTTTTTGATGAAAATTTTACATGCAGTTGCTGATAAACAAACTTGAATTCTTTCTGTTTTAATTAAAAACAAGTTAAAGACTGATTCCAAATTAATTATTGCGTAATTAATTTAAACAACAGAAAATGAATTCTAGTGACAATACTATATGCTATAAATAAAAATCGATCATTAATTAATCTGTTTAGCTGAAAAAATTGCAATTCTAGTATCTTAAAATTTAATACGCATGTGTGCAACATACGGATTTAACAAAGTTTAAAATCGTAATTTTATAGACAAAATTTAAAACATTAAACAATTATATAAGCCTGAAATCAAAGCGAATCATAAAACGATTTCAGTATTTTAATTAACAAATTTCACTTTCATGTTGATTTGACCAATCATTAAAACAATAGTAATTCAAATAAGAAAGGAAAATAGATAAAATTGTGTCAACAAATGCGAGGTAATGATGCGCACTTCTTTAATTACATTTAATTACGTACTTCTTGTTTAATTAATTGCATTAACATTTAGAAGGATAAAAGCAACAAAATGTTATATAACCAAAACGATTATGACAAAACTGTACTAAAATAATTCAACAAAAAACTTTTTCTTACTTTCAAAATTTGAAATCCATTTATCAGATACAACAAACTATTACTTATGAATTTTTCTCTAGATAATTCTTTTAGATTTGATATTTGATTTCTCTCTTTCTCTCTTTTCCACTCTCTCCTTTTTCTGTTTGCGTACAAAATGATAAAGAAAGAAGATTGTATCTCTTTTATTTTGAAGACAATGAATGAAGTAGAACTCCTAAATTAACTGAATTACATGAATTTTGAAAAACTGAATTTTAACATTGTTCCATAATGAATTGATTCACTTCAATGAAATGATTATAACACTGTCCTTGACTTCCCTTTTCATTATTATTTATAGTGTGATTCTTGTGATATTAAAACATTTTGAAATTCATTTAATCAAAAACAAATTAATTTCACTGATGCTTCTTTTTTAGAAAAAAAATAAATAAATAAAAAACGAATTAGGTAATTTAAATGATTTACTATACAGAAATAAATTAATGTTTAATTCAAACTTTCCTTTTGTTTTTTCTTTTTGTTTTTTTTTTTTTTGGTCATATTTTTAAATGAATTTAAGCAATTTCACACCAAAGTGCATTCTTTTTTTTTTTTCTGGGACCAATTTTTACTTTGCATCTAATTAATTTTTTAATGAATTTAAAGCAAAAATATATACAAAGAATCTAGTTCTTTTTTAACTTTCCGTCTAATGAATTTATCATACATGCATTCCAGTTTTGGAAATAATTTTATAAAAAACAGCTAGTAAACAAAGCAGTGTATACATAATGAATAAACGATATTTCAATGAATAAAGAATGTTAAAACTGGTTCTAAAAGTTTATCTGATAAAATTTGAATAAAATATGTCATTAGTACATTGAACAAAAAGAAACAAAATGATAAAATAAATGAAGAATGCGGCAGCATTTATTGAAACTTTGAATTTTGTATTATTAACTTTTAAATTATTATTTGAATCGTTTAAGCGTGAATATTTATTTTAATTTTCACTTTTTTTTTTTTCTTCCATAGCGTTATTTTATTAATAATTATCATTGTAAAATGTATGAGACTAATCTTTTTCAAATCTTTACAAATTAATGTACATTTAAAAATTTTCTTAAGCATTTTCTTATTCTTTAACTGATGCAGTTTAAACAATTATTATTTTTG